TGCAATTATATAAGGAATGCCAATTTATGAAGGGACCACAAGCATAGAATATGTATGAATCGAACTACATCAGGGTGCTAAGAGTGAAATAAATCCAAACTCTAATGGTTTTGGTTTACAGACACCCTCATCTTGTAATACCTTTTTATCCAAAGTGCAAATAAAAGCATCAGAGATGATCGGAATTAAAAATAACCAACTGTCAGTTCAAAAGAAATGTAAAAACAAAAAAGACAAAACTTCGAATTAAGATCCAATAGAAACGAAATATGGTTCGTCAAATGGCATAATGCATTTATAATTCTTATTCGTCTATTCCATAAACATATAATAAGATGTTATTTCCTCAAAAATTAGAAGAGAATATAAGTAGAACAAATCCACAATATTTTTGTTTAAAATCGAAATATAGGGGGGTAAAATTATTAAAATTTAAATAGTAGAAAAGGGTTTGTTTATCTCTGTCTCGAATATAAAAGATTTATGCACACATTGCACACCCTTAGATTTAGGAATTTAAGTTTGTATTGGGTAGCTCTTCATAGTAAAAATAGTTTATGCCTTTGATATTTCATGCGCTGACTGTTGCAGGTCGTAATGCATGTCAGATTCACAGACTTCAAAACGGTAAACTTAATCACTTGACATTTCTTAGAAGAGAGCTTTTTTAGTTTTGGAAGGCCACCAAGCCAAGTTTACTAAAAGGTCAAAGCTTTCACAACTTGAAAATGCAGATTCTAGATATAATCGTATTGATCACCTTATAATAACGCACGGGAAACAAACTAGATGCAGATTATGATACAAAAGAGTTTTAACAAAATATAAGAAATATAATGGAGCATTTTATGTTGCCTGTTTTAAACCACAAAGTAGAAAAAAGACCACCTCTCGCTATGCCCAAAATCTAATCAACTTATCGCAATATGGATCGTAACATTTAATAATTTTATTTTTATCCGTTTAAACCTTTAGTGAGTTCAATATTATAATTTAAATATTTAAAGAATAGAAGTATATATTGTAAATATTGTGGCAAGGTACAAATAATAATGACAATATAAACAAATTAAATAAAAAAAATTTCATCCGAAGTTGTCAGATAATTATAGGCGAGGTAAGCTTAATCTTTGCCATTCTCTTATATATAAAGATCCATCGAAAACTCTAGAATAACAAAAATAATTATTTCTATACTTTCTTATACTTATAAAAAGTTTTTTTATAGAAATGAGTCAACATTAGCAATATCGCGTACCAAATATAAAGATATTTGTTTCTCTTTTGAATTCAATCTGTTTATTCCACAAAATAATAAACAAATACACAATACAGCCACAAAAATATTTTTATCCCTAATAAATCCGTGTGAATCCTACTTAAATCTCAGTTAATTGAATTATTCCATCTTTAACGGATGGCAAAAGCTGAAACAGATCAAATAAATGATCCCTCGCCGACTTACTCGAAGATTATAGGCACAAATAACAATTGCCGTATCCGTGAATATAAAGTTGTATCATTAATAATAATCTTGGAAGTTCTCGCTTTGTGACTGCGAATCCTCCGAAGGACTTATGTGGAGGAAAAGGAGTCTATATTTTCTCCACCGCAAACTTATGAAGGCGATTTACTGACATGCTTCGGTGCGGGTATATTTAACTGATGAATCCAAGGATGTAGACATAAATGGTGGTAAGTTAATAGTGTATATTATTCTACCATAATAGGTAGTTTAAAGGGATTTATGACTTATGAAATTAACATTTTTTTGTTTTTAAATAACGTTGCAATACAAAACTTAAATCTTATATTTTCTGCACCCATGCGCGTAAATAAACAATCTGCCCGGCAATCGAAAAATCTGTTAACTAAAATTACTAAGTTTTTGATTTGCATGCAAATTTAAAATCGCAGCAAGAAAATCAACTTGTAACTATTTTCTTAACATAAATTGATCTTATGCTCATCGATTGGACATAGATTAGTTTACATGATGTTCCTTGAAATACCCCTGGAAAAAATGTAGATGCCTTTCACAGTATTTTACAGAGAAGGACCTAATTGTGACCAAACAGACAGTAACTGTGAAAAAACCAAAGTTGCTTGATTATTAAGACAAATCAAAAGAAGTTCCATCTTCTAAAGTCATCTAGTTTATTGGGCTAACAATCATAAAAATAGACAAAATATTGTTAAGAAAGCTAAATATAGATAAGAAAATGTGAAAAAAATTTGATGGGTTAATAATCAATGATACTCAATCTCGTAAAATATGCGATAACTACAAAATAGACAAAGATATATCAAGGCTAGAAAATAGTGCGATAATGATGTTTTAGAATTGCGAATTGGCTCTATATGCCTTAGTCATGCAGACAATTTTTATTTTGCCAAAAATTAACATTACTTCGTTAGTTAATTAGTAGTCTTTATGATAAATTTGCAAATTTTTCGGCGAGAGTGAAAATAAATTTATTTTGTGGCATTAAGGTGTGATGGGTCGAAATGCAACACATATAATATCGGCATACTATAATGTATTTGTGAGGCTTGAAGATAATATTTTGGACAGGCAATTGTACTGCTCAAAATAAAAATAGTCTCTTCTGCTGTTCTATGTGTCATCTCAATATACATTATTTTCATCACTTTGGTACTGGTGGAAGATCAGGAGTGAAGCGATTTATAACTGAACTGGTTGTAGCCATTTGTCTTCTTAGGTGGGCAAAATATTTTGTAGATATTTCACAAATGTATATATTTGCTCATTTTTTTGTAAAAGTTAAAGTTTAATAATAAATATATTATTAATATAAACATTTATTTAAAAAAAAATGTTGTATACTTCAATTTATACATTTCTAATTTTTTAACATTTTTCAGCATTGTAAGTGCTTAAAGATCATCTCAATAATTTTGATGATTTGTCAGTCGCATGGACTTACACGGTTATGATAAGGCCTATGCTAACATACGGTACAGCTGTCTGGGTACCGAAAACCCAAAAATTGACAGATATCCGTAAACTAGAACAAATTTAAAGAACAGCATGTCTCAACATAAGAGGATCCATAAAAACAAAAGCGACCAGAGCCATGAAAGTCATTCTTAGTCTTACTTCCCTTGATATTTACATCAAGAAGGTTCAAGCGAACAAAGACTCCATCTCATCGAAATATATTTTCCATAAGGCATATAAAGTTATAACAGAACAATGAGTTATAGTGCCAGTGTAGTTCAAACAGAGCTCACGGGGATTCTCATAGCAGCAGAAGGAATCACCAGAAATAATGTCACTTGAAGAAACATGCTCATCAATATAGATAGCAGACAAGCACTACTAAACAGACCACAAATTTACTCAGGATTGGTACTAAAATGTCACGAAGCTTTGACCAAAGTATCTATCAAAAATGTAATCAACTTATGATGGATCAAAGGTCACGCCACATCCAAAGGTCTTGCTGATTCACAGGCCATAGAACCAGCCAATCAAATACTTTTTGGAACTGACCCTTCTATTGGTCTGACAAAAGCGGTGTTGACAGACCTAATTAAAGAACATTTCCTTGTGAACTTCAAGGAGAGATGGGACGAGACAAAAAAATGCAGAGTGGCCAGAGAGCTTTTAAGTTATCCTGACAACACTGTAGCAAAAAATATGCGCCTAGTCGAAGACATTCTGACTGGTGATTTTGCCAAAGATGTAATTTTCATACGACTTTGCTTACGCCCTGAGTTTAAATAATAAAAAATATAGGCCAAATTTCAAGGAGATTGGATAATATTTAGGGGTAGCACACATTGATCATTTTTATCACAAACTGGTGAAATTTTTAATATTGACTTGTTTTCTACTAGTGATCTTTGATCTTTACAGGTATTTCTTTCATCTTTTGTAGGTAATTGAGCTCTAAAATGAAAACCAAAAGAGGAATTTAGTTGCTAGAAAAGGTGCATAGTGGTGAGTTTTTATAAATTCGGTTCCCTTCAAAGGAACAAGTACTGTAAGTTTTTATTTACCATCTTAAGGATATGAAAGAAACACTTTCGGAAGCGGCTAAATCTACCAGTACTAAACTGCAGGAAGTGTGGAGGAAAGCAGGTATCCCTGTTAAGACAGAGGAGAATATACGCGCTGGTATTCAGAAGCTATACATAGAATTCTAAAATCAAATGTCATAAAACAGCATTTCTCGAGTCTCTATTGAATCTGTAGAATTTACTGCTTCACGAGCATTTCTGTCAACTTCTTCATTTCCATATCCCAAGCAGCACGGATACATGATTGTAAAAGAAAATTATTTTATATTTATCCTATAAATGCTACAATAGGCACTAATTTAACATATAACTGTTGTCCAAGAGATAAATATGTCTCAGAGAGTAATACATTTTATTATTTTGTTATATAGATAATTATAAGACTACTTTTAAAACATGTTTAAAAACAGAACAATGTAAACAATGTAACAATGTAAACAATGTAAAATAAGAACCAAAAGAGGAATTTAGTTGCTAGAAAAGGTGCATAGTGGTGAGTTTTTATAAATTCGGTTCCCTTCAAAGGAACAAGTACTGTAAGTTTTTATTTACCATCATAAGGATATGACACTTTCGGAAGCTGCTAAATCTACCAGTACTAAACTGCAGGAAGTGTGAAGAAAAGCAGGTATTCTTGTTAAGACAGAGGAGAATATACGCGCTGGTATTTAGAAGCTATACATAAAATTCCAAAACCTAGGTAAAGAGAAATCTAGAAACACCGATAAAGCTAACATGAAACGGCATATTTGGATAGGTGACCTTGTCAAGTTATTTAACATTTCTCAGCAAAATGTGATGAAAATGCCAAGCTTATCGGAAGAAGATAAAGCATTTATTAGATCATAAAGAGAAGACCGAATGAGTTCATCAATGACTGGAGTAGACAAGGTTCTAAATGTACAAAAGAAGACAAAAATAAAAAGAATAAACATAACAGAGCTATAGCTAAAATGAATAAGACAGTAATACTGGAAGACTCATCTTCATCATCATCTGCACCTAGTGAAGAAGATAACGAATTTTTGCCTCTAGCAAAGAAAACATTACGTTCAAGACCTAGATTAAAACCTTTTGATCAAACACTTACGTCTACTTGGGATCGAGAGCAACTCTCTATTAGGCAAGCAAGTACCTCCTTTATAGCAACTGCAAAGAGCCTTGGCCACGAAATTTTCGTATCTCCATCCACCGATTGCCGAGCTCGGGTGGTCAATAGAAGAAAAATGGCAAGGAAAATCGAGGAGATGCTTTTTGAAAATCCTTCTCCTTTGGTATTGTATTATGATAGTAAATTGTTGCCTTCAGTTGCCTATGGGAATGTCAAAAATTCGAAAGATAGAGTTGCAGTTAGTGACTGGCAAAGATTTTGAGCATTTGCTTGGAGTACCTGTTGCCGATTTGGGCTAAGTGACAATATCATAGGTATATCTTTTGATACTACATCGTCTAATACAGGACTGATCCAAGGGGCATGTACCATAATTAAAAGAGAAGTAGGACGAACATTGTTGTGGTTGGCGTGCTGTCATCACACTCATGAATTAATATTAAGAGTGTTTGAGGCGTGTTGTAACATACCATCAAGTGGTCCTGACATCCAGATCTTTCGAAAGTTTCAAAATATGTGTGTTTTACTTGATAAAAAATAATATACGACAATACTGGATGAGGAACGTCCCGTTTAAGGCTTCATAAAAGAACAGCGAGTGAAAATGATTAACTACTCACAGAATGTCCTAAAAGACCGAAGTCATCCAAGAAAAGACTACAAAGAGTTATTACAACTATGACTTTTGTACCTAGGAGGTTGGTCTCAAGACGAATTTAGTTTCAGGATCCCAGGAGCTCTGCATCAAGCAAGGTGGATGGCAAAAGCGATTTATGCACTTAAAATTATTCTCTTCACTATGTTGAATATGTCTCAACGAGAACTGAAAGAAATGAAAAGGGTTGCACATTTTGTCAGCCTCATATATGTTCGCTTTTGGCACGAAGCAATTGTAAGTCGATGGGTTCTAAAAAATGATTTGGATATGCTGCAGCTTCTGAATATTTACTCAGATATAGACGTAAAAAAAAGTGCTCTTACTGTTGCTAAGAGACACCTGTGATATTTGTCAGAAACAAACATAGGATTGGCTTTAGTGGATGAACGTATTAGTCAGATTAAAAAGGAAAATATGACTAAATATTTAGAAACCAAACCTCCAAATAAAAAGGAAATGAAACGATTAGACGGTAAAAACTTAGTTTTTGAAGGAAAAGACCTGAGCTATTTCATCACTAGTAAAACAAAAATGTTATTTGTATTGTTTGGAATCCATAACGCGACAGACTATTGCAGTGATTCTCTAAGAAATCAAGTGGACGCTCTTAAGGTAGTGAATGATACTGCAGAAAGAGGAATTGCTCTAATAAAGAAATTTAACGAATCGGTCAGAGATGAACAACAAAAACAGCTTTTGCTGAGGGTAGTGGAGCATCATAGAAAAGTCGTCATCAAGCGAACTTAACAAGGGATTGCATCGTTCAAAGTTGAAAAATATAAGACAAGTTTTTCCTAACTGTTACCTAATAATCCTAATATTATTACCTAATAATCTTTATGTGTAGTTTTAAGTTTGAGATTTATAGTTTTAACAATAAAAGTAATTAACATTAAAAAGTGGTGTTTTTTGCATACTTTTCCAACTGGTCAAAGTGTGCAACTTCTAAATATTGTCCAATCTTCTTAAAATTTTGCATACATATCTTTTACATTAATTACACTCGGGGTGTAAGCAGACTGCAAAAATTTAACATTTAATTTTTTTTATTTACAAAATGAAACACCCTACTGGTCATTGCCAAGTACGGAAGCATCTTCATATCATGATGCTGTCACAATCCGCACTTTTCAGGTGAGAACAAAAAGACGAAACCATCGAGTATATCCTCTGTGATTGCTCGACGCTCTTATTTATTAGAAAATTTATGTTCGGCGAGTATCGGCTAACATCGGCCGACGTTATCAACTACATCTGTAGGCTGGATAACGAGCTAGGAGGTGATTATCATCTTAGGAGGATGCACAATGGACTAAGTGCCGTGGGGTAACCCACCCTCCATACGTTACAGATACAGATCAGTTTATTTTGTAGTAATTCTATTAAACATTCAATTCCTTCCTTGATTGACTTTTCTGCTTATCGCTAGCAACACCATGCCATCTACAAACACCAAAAATTATTAATATATGTTAATAATAATAATTATAGTGATTCTTTGTTTGGTGAGTCTTCAAAACTGTAAATTACAATTTAAACTAGTTCAGCATTTTTCCAATTTTATTGGTCACATAGACACTAATATAATTTTATATTGATTAAAAGCGATAAAATAATAGCAAACAGTTAATTACGAATCAGTCGTTCACTATAATTTGACAACTATTGTTTTATGTTCAAACGAAACCGCATGACCCTCAAACTCGTGTCAGTTTTAGAGTTTCGTGGTCGAAATCCTTGCATATAATTGCTCTTGAATTTGAACAGCATAGTTTCTTTGTTTCATAAATTAACTCAACACTTTCAAGGTTTTATAAACAAAACGAGCTGCCGTTTATAATACACGCGCCGGTATCCAGAAAAGTCTAAATAGCTATGCAGAATATCTAGAAAGCGACAGTAGCGATAAAAACGTAATTTTTTGCAGATTTCTTAATTTCCTAATGTTAGTTTTGTAAAACGAGTAAGCGAAGAAAAATCGTCAGATTGATAGTGATAGGCAAAGAAATGATACCTCACTCAGTTTTGCTGTCTAATTGCGAATCCATAGTGGGCTATCTAGGCGTGATAAAATTTCCATTTTCTCGTCCTATTTGGTTTACGTTCATCTTAAATTATGCAATTCTAACAATTGTACAAAATTAAAAATTTGTACAATCATAATTCAGTACGACAAGTTAATATAGCAAGTCACAATTAAATGCAAACCCCACAAATGAACACAAATAGATCACTGAAACAATATCATCGAAGTTCAGCCATTAACTGAGACAATCCCTCCTAAGTTTATATTTGCCAGTGCGCATCTAATTTTAACTTGTCATCTCAATCTTATCTTTTTTCGTGTTTTGTAAATACATTGTCAGATTGTCTCTCAAAACTCCATAGGACTACATTTTGCAGATTATTTTAAACTATGCAGAGTTGTCAAGAAACAAACCGATTTTGATTTACTTTAACAAAACTTCAACAATGTATGTAAATGGTTAAGAGATAATAAAATGGTACTTAATATAAAAAAAAAAAGTAAAGTTGTTATATTTACATAAAAATACAACCCAATATTAAATAATTACATAACCTGTGATGTGACACTAAATCGTGAATATGAGGTAAAGGATTTGGGAGTTGTCTTTTAGTATAATTTAAAGTTTTATAACTTATTCTTGCACCTACCTAAAAAAGCTATGGGTTTTTTAATTAGAAATACAAAAAAAATAGGATTTTCACGAAAATAAAATTATATAATGTCTTAGTAAGACCTCATGTAGAGTATGATTCACAAATATGGTTGCCTTTGAAAATCACACATATTTTTTCTTCACCTACATAGATATTAGCTTATCTACGCACAGACTACAAAACTAAAAAGTATGTCATTGCGTTCAACTGAACGAATATATTTCATATTCATTCTAGGTAGTGAGAACACTGCAAAAAATGAAATCCACCAATCACAGTTCATATTTTGGACACCCAATTACTATTATTTTTAAAATTTTAAATAAGGGATAATCTTGTTAAACTAATTATTGTGAGTATATTTTTTAATCATTGAGATTAAATATACATTAAAATGAGTTATTTTTGTGTAGAATCGATAAATAATCATAAATAATAGCATTTTCATTTGGACAATATTTAAAAAAAAATTAAATTTTTATCGAACTATATAAACTTATTTTAATTACGAGTATTAAAACCAAAATCGTAAAAGTGGCCGTAGATGCGTGAACAGAGTGCTTCCTTCCACGCGAAAAGCTGGTAATTTTTTTTTTCATATTTATTTTATTTTAAAAATCAATAACATTCATAAATTATTTTAAAATTAGTTATTTTGTCTTAATAACTCCGCCTATGGCGTCGTGCCCAATGCCCAAATTTTGTCTTCGTGCGATATGGCCATCATATCCACTCTTGTTGCACAATACGATATTTTTATGTCATAAAAAGCAACCTAATGTATCCTTATAAAATCTCATATCAAAAGATTTAAAGTTAAATCTCTTTTACAAAGAAGAAGACAACATGTTGTGATATATTTGTTTTCTATTTTAAATTGTGATTTACTTAACTATATAAATTTTATTGTGCCAAAGAATATTCTAAGAATCCCACGTAACAAAAAATTATTTAGTGTAGATCTAAGTAGCATATCTCCTTTTACCAAAATGCTAGCTGTTACCAAAGAGTTTCTTAGCGAGGTCCAAACAGATATCTTTAATGTTAGCCTAAAAAAGTTGAGGGTTGTACTTTAAAATTAAGTTCTTTATATATTAAGGTTTGTTTTGTTTCTTGTTTTTAAATTTTTTATTACCTAACTCTGCATGTAACTACTCTTAATTTTTTATAGGGGTTGTAAAGGGTCCAATAAATAAATAAACAATTACTGTTTCCTATGCTTTACCACTTCCATTCTTTAGTTAAACACATTCTCACTAATTTAATATGTACTTTGTTATTGATTCAATGTTTAATTCTTCACTAATATGTGTGTTTTTATTTCATACTCGTACCTGTTTATGTTTCTCTAAATTTTCTAAGCTACTTCAATTCTGTTGCCTTTGCCTTGAATTTGTGTTCATGCTCTTTAATAATAATATAATTTGGGTGGAAGATAGAAATAATGTACAAGATATATGTAAATAAAATGGTTACCTCGTAGCCACAAAAATGAATGACTAAAATCGTACGAGGTATTTACTATTCAATGAGTATTATTTCTTGATACTACATAATATAGTTTATTTTAACCCTATCACTCACCAAACTTACTGGCAACAAATAAGAGGGCATAGAAACAGTATACTCTTACTAAGGGAACGCATGGCAAGGATACAACCATTGTGGGATTACTAATGGGTTATTGCTTGCTCAAACACCTTCATGTGATAGGATGACACAATGATCCCACCACGTGTAGACGGTGCATGGAAGAGGACGGAACCTCATACCATGTGATATTCGAATGCAAAGATCTTACTAGGCGGGATCTCACCCTTTTTGACCAAGAACCGGCAAGAACGCCCCAGAAACACTTGGTAGGGAACTTAGTAAAACTGATCAAAAGCACAGGACTATTCCAAAGATAGTACCTAAATACG